TTTTAGGGGTTTCGGGTTTTAGGGGTGTCGGGCTTTAGGGTTTTAGGGTTTAGGGTTTTAGGGTTTAGGGGTTTAGATTTTCGGGTTTAGAGTTTAGGGGTTTAGGTTTTGGGGTTTTGGGTAAGACCTACTGCAACCCAGGAAGAAATGACTTAAACTCGGCTTGCCAGCTGTGGATCTGCACACCCTAGAACAAACCCTTGCCAACCGCAAATGTCACCGATCCCTGGTGTCATGGCACGGTGCCTAGGGTTTAGGGCTTAAGGTTTAGGGTTTCCTTGTGTAACCCTTAACCGTACTTTGCACTCGCTCAGACAGGTTCTGTCTTACACGGTTAACAGCAAGAGAATCGCATTTCGGGGACTTATGACCCAAAGTATAACCTACTTGCCAAGAGTACACCCTTAAACTCCGTAAACCCCAAGCCATGTGCCTTGGCTCCTAAACTTGCGAGCGATTGGTGTCGCGATCCTCCCACCCTTATAAACCTGAACCTTCCGAAGCGCTATGTTGGGATTGGTTTGGGGCTGCTGCTACCAGCCACTACTACTACTGCTTAAGCCATAGACGGGCCTAAACTGAAAACCTACCCTCGAAGCACTTCCTCATCTTGTTCGTCTCCCAGGACCGGCCGCGAGAAGTCCTGCGGCTCGCAGCCTTCGAAGGCCCAGGAGGAGACGATGGCAGCGGGCAAAGGCAAGCAGTCCTACTATTCCGCCCCATCGCGAGTTGCTTGGTTAGGGGTTTAGGGTTTAGGGGCTTAGGGCTTAAGGTTTAGGGTTTAGGGTTCGGGGTTTAAGGTTTAAGTTCAGAGTTGAGGGTTTAGGTTGTGAAGATAGCTCGCTCGTTATTAGGCAGTGTTGTCGATTTAGCTTCGACCATCGTGTTTGACTAAACCGGAATAGGGCAGCTCCGAATGAATTGTGAGTGAGATTCTGTTACCAAAGCTCTAGTAGTGTTAGTAGTGTTGCTTGTACTAACAGTAGGATAGCAGAAAGTCTTGGTCGTTGTTGTTGTCACAGCAGCAGGAGCTGCTGCTGTTGAAGTTGCAGGACCAGCTTGTGATAGAAGTAGAAATAGCCCCCGGCGCAGAATCAGAGCGCATGCATGGCATCCTTGAGGCCTGGCAAAGGAATGCAACCAATAAATCCCCAAAAAGGTTTCAGAAAAAAAGGGACCCTGATATGGAACCCCAAAGAGCAGGATCCTTTTTGTAAGGATCCCAAGAAGGGAACCCTCATTTTACGCAACTCCCAGAGACCTCACCGAGGAACCTGGGGAGACCGCCGGATCTGGAGCAAGAGAGCCCAGAATGTTTTCCTACGCATGGGGCCAAGACAGCGACTCGCTGAAAGCACAACCAGGGGTTTAGGGTTTAGGGGTTTAGGGTTTTGGGGTTTAGGGTTTAGGGGGCCTCAATAATTGCCCAGGCTGGCCCTTAAAAATTTCTTAATATAGCAAGAATACCATGGTAGACCCCAAAACACCATTCTATTTATGAAGGCCCAATATTGGGATTTCAGGCTGCACTTTGCTGCACATCTTTCGGAGAAGAAAGCAGGGGAAGTCGAAGGCATATTCCCTAATTAAGGGATATTGGAACATCCGGAAATGTGCGTACCAGGGCTTGTTTCGGGTTTCGGCTTCAGCGCTGGGAGTCTTGGCGCAAGGCAGTAGTCACATGCACTGTTGTAAATTCAAAACCTGGTCGTATCGCTAAAAACTTATATACTTATAAGTCTTATAAGTTAGTGTAACAGACCCCCAAAACTCAGTTCTAATTACCAAGGCCCTTCAACCCTACCCTCAACCCTAAATCCTATAGTCCCAACATTCACGACGTCTTAAGCCAGTAGAGGGGTTTTGGGCTTGGGGTTTGGGTTTCGGGTCTAGGGTTTTGGGGGAATGGAAGTCTTAAACATGCGAAGGGATCCGTGCCTCCGTTTAGTTTGGGTTGGCGGGGGATCTAGTTTCAGGAGCTTCCGATACGAGTAACTAAAGACCATTTTGCCTATTAGCCTTACCCCTAGGGTCCATGGTAGCTCCTTTTTTGTGGGTTCATATTTAGGAGCCTATAAGGTAATCCCCAAAAAGGATCTACAATGGAGCCTATTAGCCTTAGCTTGCAGGAAGCCAACGCCCAGAACCCTAAAGCGCCGAACCGGGGACCCCTCCTGCGCTAATGCCCTAAACCCTAAACTCTAAGCCCGAATAAACCCTAGTAAGGCCCTAATAAACCCCAATAAACCCTCATAAGCCCTAGTACACCCTATTAAACTTCAATAAACCCTAATAAACCCTAAGCAAACGGCTGAGGCAAACAATGTTGGAATGGCGCGTCAGCGGCTCAGTCGTCCGCCGCCGCACCGGCACCAGTTTGGCCTACGGACAGCGCGAGCTCCCAACCGAAAGCTGCAGAGGACCCCTGATACGAATATTGGGTTTTAGTGGCGTTTATTCGGGGTTTCGGAATTATGAGTAGCACTATACACCGCATCGTCCTCATAACACTAGACTCGAATATGGATGTTAATTTCCTGACGACCCGAAAGAACCTAAAGCCCCAGACCTTTGAGCTCCAAACCTTAAATCTCACACACGAACTCCATAGGAGTGGTAGGTTTGGGGGGGGGTTTTAGGGCTCAGCATCTAGGACTTTGCTGTTTAGGGTTTAGTCTTACCCCTATATTACGTGTATGCCAAAAACCTACCATCATTGTTGAAGTTTAGGGACGTTATCATCAGGACCCCCCCCCCCGCCAACTCCAAGAAATCAAGGTTTCTGGGTCTACAGGTGCTCCTTAACATCTGAACCCATACTTGTGCTACACCTTAAAACCCTAAACCCTAGACCCCAAACCCTAGACCCTAAACCCTAAACCCTAAAACCCTAAACTAAATTGTGCTACACCTTAAGGCTTGAGCCTGAGCCCCCTTCCGTTGGAAGCAGCACTTGCAGACTGCAGTCCTGCCGCAGGACACCGGAGAGGCTCAAAAGGACGTCGCCGAGAGGCAAGAAGAATGGCACAAATTCCTGGATGACGACAACAGGCGCTTGGCGTACAAACTCCACTTAAAGGATCAAAGGACTTGTTAACTAGGGTTATGAATAAGGTAACTAACTATATCTATATATATATATATATAACCCTCACACGGCTACTTATAACCTTACTGACTAAGTGCCAGCATCCTCTAAGTACTGCTAGGCCTCCATCAACCTTGCTACCAGTGGCACAAAGTCATGACGGTGACAGTGGTACTGGCAAAAAGTTTAATGCATATCACTATATATCATTGTTCTCCTCGTTTATGACATGACCAGCATGAGTTTAATATTGAGATCGGAATACTTAGTAATAATTACTACTCCCTTCTAGTCCCTGTAAAAATGACAATGCAACGAGTACTCCCATATCCATATATATATATATGTATGTATATGTACACATACACAATATGGACTATATTCCAATCAAGAAGGCCCTATATTCCCTTCTGCTGCCATGGTTACCAGGCCCTAAACCCTAAACCCTGGGGTGCTGCTTCCACGAAAGGGGTGCCACTACATTTCACACAAACATCCCTAATCCTTAAACCCTAAGCCCTACACGGCTAGAGCTTCAAGGTGGGTTCAGCAAAGCTTTGGGGAGGCCAAGCCTTGAGGTTACAGGGTTTAGAGGTTCAGGGTTTAGGGCTTCAGGGTTTAGAGTTTATAGGGTTTAAGGTTTACGGCTTTAGGGTTTAGTGTTTATGGGGGTTTGCGGGTTTAAGGGTTTAGGGTTTAGGGGTTAGGGTGATGGATTTATCCCGAGGCTCGAAATCAGCTAAATGCCTCGCGCATTGTGGTCCTTGAGCCCAGAAAACCTTAGCAGATGAGTCCTCAGAACGGTTTCGATTTTAGGGTTTAGGGTTTCATGCAGATGAGTCGGTGTAGCTTGCAGGGCTTCGAACCTGAAATCTGAAGTCAACATTACTTAACCGCTTTGAAAGATTCAGTATACCGCCAGTTCTCGTCCATCGCCATGACACTTAGGGTTTAGGGTTTAGCTTTTAGGGTTTAGGGGTATCTCTTCTTGTGGAGCCTTGTCTGGCATACTTCCGAGACACCTCCCTCCCATCAAAGCCCTGGCTTGAACATTTCTAAGCCTTCTAACTACCGAGTGCTGCGCTTTTGACCGAGTGGATGTTTCGGGGAGCTCGTTGTTTTAAGGGTTTGGGTTTTTCAATATTTTAAGATGTCTTTCGTTCCGGGATGCTGAAATGGCTGAAACCCAAGCCCTAAGCCGTCTGAGGCCGTACTTCTATTACCTTCCGACCCAAGAGTATTTCTACAAGGAAGATGCGCGCAAGTTCGGGTGGACGCAGCCTCTTGGGCCATTATCGACAGCAGCTCATGCTTTGCCTTTTTGCACCCCTTAATCCTCGGGGCTGTAATACCCAAACACCCCAAAGCCCCGGCCTCGTTTGATTCACGCTCAACAACCCTAAGCCAAAACCCTAAATACCCTAAACCAGCTACCCTGAACCTTTAACCGTCAATACCCTAAACTCGAAGCCCTAAATAGCCCACAGACCGCTGTTCTGAGTTTAAAGTTTAGCGCTTAGGGCTCAGCTCTCGAACCAAGAACTCAAGACGCCAAGCTAGGCTTGGGGTTTAGGGTTTAGGGGCTTAGGGTTTAGAGTTTACTTAGAGGTTTGGGGATTAGGGCTTAGGGTTTGGGGTTTAGGGTTTGGGGTCGAGGGTTTAGGGTTTAGGGGTTTAGGGGTTTAGGGTCTAGAGTTTAGGGACTCAAGGTATGAGCACGACGGATGTCACTGGTGGTGCCACGACAGCGGCCGGTTCTTCTTCGAGCCCGACGGAAATTGAGCGGCATCTCGCTGCTCCCATAGGAAGTGGGCGGAGGAAGCGACAGCTAGGTCATACTGTATATACTCGAAGGCAGGGGACATTAGCAAGTAGTCTAGATTTCTGCAAGTAGGCTGTGTTTTATTTTATCCCGCTTAGGTTACTTCTACTAAACCCTAAACCCTAAACCATCTCTACACCAAGTATATCTTACTAACTCCCTTGATCCCTTGCGTGAGATGTGTCGCCCAGCTAGGACCCGAAACGGATCCTTGAAGCCACCGAACCCCAGATCTTGCAACGCCTCATAGCACCCTAAGCCCTAAACCCCAAAACCCTAAACTCTAAACCCTGAACCCTGAACCCTGAACCCTAAACCCTAAACCCTAAACCTAAACCCGAAACCCTAAACCCAAACCCTGATGGGTAAAGTTCTGAAGCCTCCAGCCCTGAATCGGCATGGCCATTCGCCACCGGACTTTGAGTCTTGGACCAGAGAGTCAAGGGACTAAAGGAGAGACCCTTAAAGGGACCCTTGGGGTTATATAGGGGCTTTATGCGACTATATAAGGGGCATATAAGGGTTCTATAGGGTATTAGGGGTCCCTTCTAGGGGTCCCTCCTATTGTCGCTTAAAGAGAGGACATGAGGGCAAATCGAGGGCCGTGCGCCCCGTTTTGGCCGTTGCCACCCTCTCGATCTTGATCCTCAGAGAACTCCGGTGCCCGAATTTCGGGATCTTCTGTAAACTAGAAGGGTTACTTTCAGGTAATCTACACCCGAAGCCCTTACTAAACCCCTAAACCCCCAAGCCCCTAAACCCTAAAACCCTAAACCCCCCAAACCCCCAAGCCCCTAAACCCGAAAACCCAAAACCCCCAAACCCCCGAGGCCCCTAAACCCTAAACCCCTAAAGCCTAGGCCCTAAGAGGGACTTTGGACGACGGTATCGGACGCGATTCGGACATCGGAGCTGGGGACGAGTGCTAGATCCCAGGGTTGGAGTTTGAGGAAGCACGGAGGGGGGCCTTGAAGCCTGGTAGAAACCCTAAACCTACACGTTTTGGGGTTTAGGGTTTCGGGGTTGGGGTTTAGGGTTTAACCCTAAATCGTTGCAGAGACCTTTTGGAGTCTTACTTTGTGCTCATGGGACGTAGTTTGTAAGGCTACATGTAAGGTTATAGCTAGGATAACCCCTACTTAGGGTACTCGTAACCCGAATTATAGCCCTACTTGCTGAGTCCCTTGGGCCCTAACCCTAAACCCTAAACTGGACAAAAGCCTTATACCCTCTACTCACTAAATCCCTGGGGCCCTTAAGTAAGCTTCCAAGCTAGCTGCGAGCTCGTCCCTTGGGCCCTTCCGTAAACCCTAAGCCGTTGTGGAAGCCTTCTGCAGCCTAATAGGATCCCTTCTGGGGTTTAGGGATGCTTAGGTTTAGGGTTTAGGGATCCTTAGAAAACCCTGATAGAATCCCTTCTAGGGTTCAGGGGTTTCTGGGTCGACGTCAAATTGAACCGAACCCTCATAGAGCCCCTTCTAGGGTTGAGGGTTTAGGTCAAAAGGAACCCCGACAACTCGATTTGAACGTCGAAGGGCAGCGGATGAGATAAGGGAGGCCCTGCAACAGGTCAGGTCAGCGCACCCTAAACCCTTAGTAGGGCTTCGGGTGCTTGCTAGTGCAGTAATTGGAATGATCGAGCATGGGGGTTTAGGGTTTGGGGAACTTGAAATGGATCCTTTTTTTTTTTCCAAAACTGCCGGAATACCGTGTTTGTTTGCAGGCGCCTCAACAAATAGCAAGCATGTTACTGTGAAACCCCCCGTGAACAGTTGTATGGGGTAGTTCTCTACATTAGGGTCTCCTTGTAGTTCCCCAGAAATGTACGGAACACTTATTTAAAACAAAAACCCTAAAAAACCCTTTCTACACTCATGTTCCATACAGGTTTGACACCGAGGGCAGATTCCAGGTAGGCAGCTGCAAAGCGGTCGAGGTGATAGACTGGGTTTAGGGTTTAGGTACTGGTGCCAGCAGTACGTCGTGAAGCTTAGCCGACAAAGCGATGTAAGCCAGGTAACGGCTAGGGTTCAGGGATTTGGGGTCTAGGGTTTGCAGAAAACTGCTAAGATTTGAACACCGGCATCTTCGGTGCAGAAGGATGCTGATTCAAGCTACGGTTATAGGCGGTTCATGTGGGCTTATGAAAAATTAGGGTTGCTTTACATGGGGTCCTTATAAAGCAGAATTCCGTTGAGCCCTACCATTGAGAAACTCCTAGTTCTATGGTGTGCCCAGTGTTATCTTTGCAAGGGCCGCTTGCTCCCGCTATGCCTCTGTGCCCTTCGCGCAGTTAGTCCGGACTCTCGCTGCTCTGTTGCGGAATGCCGGAAAAGCTTGCAACCACAGATCCTGAACCCCAAATGCCCGGAGCTCTAAACTCTGCGTGGTGTTGGTCACAACTAGGGTTTCTAACTCGAGGTTCAGGGTTTTGAGAATTTAGGTTTTGGGGTTTTCTGATCCATTATGATGGCCTGAACAAAGAATACTCGTAATCTTGACGGTATTAAAAAGAAACTCCTGGTATCAGCTCCCCAAAATCTTTGTCCATATCTAATTATGTAGCCCTTATATTTCCCGCTCTAGACTTTCACGGTTGCCTGAGCTGGGGCTGCAGTGATTCGTACGGTTGAAGATTACCCCAAATAAGGAACATACCATAATTCCCCTAGTTTAGGGCCCTTAAGGTAATGCCGGATGTATATCATCAACAGTGGGGCCTCCATTTTCCTTGACTCAGGGTTCCGGTTTACTGGGTAGGGTTTAGCTTTAAGGGTACAGGTTTCACGATTCATGAATAACAAGCAGGGGTTACTGCTGTTGAGATTGCAGGGTCTGGGGTTTAGGGTTTGGGGTTTATAGGGTTTAGGGTTTAGAGTTTGGGGTTTGGGGTTTGGGGTTTAGGACAGGGTTCCATGTGTTCCTTTGGTTGTGGGAGGTAAGAGTTGTAGGTCTCCCTATATATACTAAAATGTATCCAGAGCCCGCGTCATCTGATCACACAGCCCCGGAGAGAAAACCCGATACGGCTTATCGCAGCCCTGTGAATTTTTTGCGAATCGGGGTGGCTTTTAGTTGATGGCTCAGGGTGGACTGTTTCGTGGTGTCTTGGGTTCAGGATTCAGTGTTAAGATGTACTTAGGTCTCTGAGGATCCCTAGATGAAGTAACATAAGGGCCTTAGCGCACTTAGAATAGGGTCTTGGGCCTGCATTATACGTATATTCAGAAACCCTCAAGAATAAAAAATGGTAGCTATGCCGACCTGTACTGTGTAGTAGGGAAGTTGGGTTTCGGGGTTGATTGTTCGTGGTTTAGGCTAACATGATTCTGGGCTTGCTGTTTAGCTTTCAACTCTTGTGTTGGGCGTTTTGGTTTGTCATGAATAATATCATTGGACCATGAACCCCAAAGCCCTAAACCCAAAGCCCTTGCACCCTAGACCTTTAAAACCTCGAAGCCAGACTCCTACCCGGAGAAAAGCAGCTCAACCAAACAACTTGTACCCATGAGTGGCTAGTGTTTGTAGGAATGTTAAAACTAGTATTTACACGAATAGTATTCACACTAATATTAACATGGATATTGATAGGAATATCGAACTTAAACCCGGTGTTTAAGTTTAGCCCTTCACTCCTCTCGACCTTTCAAGCATGGGTGCGCGGAGGCGCAGAGAACCTTCACAACCTTGCCGCCGCCCCAGGGTAGCTGAGATTTCATTCTTCGAAGCTTTAAAACCCTAAACCCTAAATCCTAAACCCTAAGCCCTAAATCCCAGGCCCTGAACACAGAAAATCAGGTTACAGGGCCGGGCCGGATCTTGGAAGTTCTTACATCAAACGGAGAGCCTCCTTTGTTTCGTTTACAGGGATCTTCGAAAGAATACTCCTGCGCTTACCCTCTAATCCCTCAAGCCCAAACCCGAAAAGAAATCCCTAAACCTGAAACTCTAACATGAAACTCTAAATCCTAAGGTTTAGGGTTTAGGGAGGGTTTAAGGGTTTAGGGTTTATGTGTTTAGGGTTTAAGGGTTTAGGGTCTAAGGGTTTAGGGTTCAGGGGAACTCCCTAGACCCCAAGCTTCAATGGCAACATAGAGAATGAACCACTAGACCCTCAAACCGATGCTTCCTCAAGCGCTAGCCTTGCAGTTCCTTCTACACCCAGGAGATACGGATTCCTATAAGGGTTATTATGGGTGCTACTCTCGGGGATGACTATGGTTGATGGACAAAAACCTGCACTACCCATAACAAGGAATATACCACAATTCCCATAGTTTAGGGGTCCTTAAACCCTAAACCCTGAACCCTGGGAATTATGGTATATTCCTTAGTACGGGTGATGCGGGAATATACCATAATTCCCATAGTTTAGGGTCCTTACGGAGGTCATGAGGCTTCGTTATAAGGATCCCCAGAAGTCGAATCCGTGAACTGGGTTCCGAAATCTTCGCGAACCCAGAGCCCCCTACTTAGCCCCCTAAACCCAAAGCCCGAAACCCTAAACCCTAA